GAAGGCTTTTAACTACACTTTGTGGACTTCCTGATAGTAAAGAATTACAATAGTCCAGCCTTGAAGTAACATCTTCATGAAACTCATGAAACGTCTTCAGCCTCAGCCTTAGTACTGTTCCAATTAAAAAGAACAGTAGACCAAGAACAGACAGAGTCCCTGGATGATGTTCTTGCCCCTCCCTATTTACTGAGTTAATGCATTTTTTATTTTTATTTTTTCGAATTTGAGAGGACCGCAGTAACCAGCGAACCTCCGAGGGTTACGGCAGCCAGGGCTAACATTAGCTCGTATTTTCCCCCTTTTCTTCCTTGCCTCTCAGCACTCATTTTTACTTCACAATGTTCATTTCATTTGTGTTTATCTGACTGTATTAATTATTATTCCACCACTAAATGAACAAAGTATGAAGTTATTATTATCTAGAGACTATTAATAACAGGAGGTGAAATGCAGCTCTAGACGAGCCGGGCTTGTGGTGACGTTAGGAGTACGCTTCTATTCCAATTGACCGATATTTATGCTGCATGCTCCCATTCTTCCCCAATTCCAGACTTTTGTGTTCTTCTCAAGAACATACTTGGCGAGGCCACAAGTCCGTACTCGCATTTTAGTGAATTAAGAAATGACCATAGTTTGTGGCGACTTCTGTTTCCATGGTAACTGCTTAGCCATTACTTTTATTCAAATATTTTTATTGGATTTTGAATTGTTCATATAAAATAACAGCCAAACAATAACCCCTATATTAAAAATAATCTCCATTAACATTGTCAAAAAAAATAAAAATAATAATAATAATAATAATAATTGCTTAGCCATTACTAATCACTTCATTTACCTCAAGTTCAATAAGAATATTTTTTATGTATTGGTAGTTGTTTTAATCTACCAATACTTTTTCCCTAGTATCAGTTTAATAGATGCCCATATTACTATAGATATGGTAGAATTTTGCTTTAAAATTTTCAGTAGGGTTTGTTGTGAAAAGGAAACAGTCTAATTTCTAACAATAGTTGAGCTTTGATGATATTTGTCTAGCCTTAGGCTAAAATGAATTGCTGTGTCCAATGTAAAAGCTTTTATTTTGTAGAGTGCTCAGTGTCTTATTTTGCCAAAGCTGTATTGGTTGCATCTTAAGGACACGATCAGACCCACTAGTGATATGAAATCAATTTCCAAGTATTAAGTCACACTTTTTCCCTGTTATTAGGATATAAGATGCTTTACCACTGTTGTTTATTTAGAAATTTGTCTAGCCCTAGGTCTTTAGCCCTATCCTGCAGTGAATTACTATGTACAATATAAAAGACTCTCCGTCTTTGGCTAATTTTGTGTCATTGCTTTGTTCTGTTTTGTCATCTGACACTAGCTATTACCTGCAAAATGGATAACGATGATAAAGGGTCGGTGCCAGCAGCACCATCGCTCTCTGCACGCCAGCTGCAGTCCCACCTCAAGATGGAACCCAAGACTTTGGGGGTAAGAAAGAGGCATTTAAAGCTTGAATGCCAAACCAACTGTTTCAGTCAGATGTGAGATATAATTTACTCTTTATTTCTATTTGGGAATTTCTATTAAATTGCCACCCTTAACTTGGGGGATTTTTTTCAGTGCTCAGATGATCCCAGAGGCTATGCCTTCAATGGCTTAAAACCCTTTGTTAGGGTCTACCAAGTCAAACAGGCTCTGGGTGACCAGTCAGACAAAGAGCAGATCGAAATAATAATAATAATACATTTTTTTTAAAAGCCGCCTTTCTGGACAGTCAAGGTAACCAAGCAAAAAGAAAAACACATCAAATTCAAGTTTTGAGGAGGGCCAAGGAGGAGAGAGTTGTAATAATTCAGTCAGTAAGTGATAGGGCTGTGTATGGTGGCAGTGTGGGGGTAATGGATGCACAGAGGCAGTTGATGCTTTGTAAGTGGAAATAAGCAGACCGGGTAATGTTATTGAAATGGGACTGAAGGGACAGGGTGATATCGAGGATGACACCCAGACTCCTAACCTGGGGAGAGGGTGAGATGAAGGAGATGTCGATTATAAATGGAAGCTGTCAGTTTTGGAAAGAGTTAATATATTGCCAATAAGGAGAAACTCTGTTTTGCTCTTGTTTAATTTAAGAAAGTTTTTTGTGAAGCAGGCTTCCTGTTTGGGCCTGTTCACTTCCTGTTTGGATTAACTGAATGTTGTCACTGTTCAGACTTAACTTCTCCATCTCAAGTTAAGTTATTTTTTCTGTGATATCTCTGTATCTTAGTAACTCTAACTGACCACAACCACGCCTTCTATTACTATTTTCTACTGAGCACCTGTCAGTTTCACACTGTTTTATTTCTGGTAGTAAGGAATAGCTAGCCTAGGCTAGCGCTAGCTTAGCATTGCTATGGCTTCTCTCTCTCCCTCCCTTGACTCTTTTCCAACTCTTCCTTCTTTCTCTCCTCTCTCCTGCTCTCTGTGTCAGATGTTCAGTTATTCCTCTGCCTCCTTTAGTGATAATGGGATGTGTAATTAGTGTAGTATTTTTGTAGCTTTGGAGGCGAGGGTGTCAGAGTTAGAATCCAGGGTTCAGACTGTTGAACATCCA